CTGGGGAGAGAGAGGGAGTTCTCCCACAATTATGAGCTTCCTCCCTTCTCTTACTCCCATGCCCCTTCTCTGCTGGGTTACTGGAAAGTCTACTTTCTATTCTTCAAGGATTAATGCCTCAGTGCAAGGGGAAAATTGGCAATTAAAAAAAAAAAAACAAACCCAAAGCCTGAGATTTCTGTCGCTTTATGATTTTCCAGTTAGATTTCATTAGAATGCTGCTGCCGAGAGAAGTTTAGGGCTTTTGTTGTTGTGTTGTCAAAGGGCTTAAAACTATGAACAGGATGTTTTTATCCTTAGGAGAAAAAAGACTGGCAACCTTTTATGCTAATGGAGCTTAGCTAACAGCTATAAACAAGGAGAATTTCCAAAGGGAAAGTGAGTTACTGTAATAGCCTCCAACAAAATAATCTGCTTATGAAAAATAAGATATTCGGTTCCTATCAGAACTGCTGAATATAAGTTATTCAGTAGTTTTTCCATAGCTGAAATTTTTAAAACTCAGAGATTATTTGCACTTATCGAAATTCCCTTTTGCACCCCCTCCAATAAAATGTTTTAAATATAAAAGATTGTAGGTTTTCATCCTTGCATTTTGAGATATCTTGTTGAAATGATTTCTCGGCTTCTGAGATTCTAATGAAACGCCCCAGCAGATTGAAGTGCCGATTCGTCTGGGGTGGAAGCCCAGGAGGAGTCTTCCTCCCATCCCGGTGTTGCTAGCAGGCTGGGGCCGAGGTGGCTTGGGCAGGGGAGGGCCCTGCACGCACGGGTTCCCTCCCGTGGCCACACACGCCCACGTTTTGCTCCGGGTGCTCGCCTGCTGCGTGTGTGACTTGGGTGGCATGAAGCCAGCGACACCAGACAAGCAGGGGTATTGTCCCAGTCTGAGGGCAGATATAAATTGTCATCTTCAGTGAATATTTATTAGGTGTTCGGGAGTGTAGGGCGTCCTGCCAGGAGCAATCAGGGAGAGACCAGGAAACACAGATGAAGCAGCTTCATTCTGGGGGGACGAGGTCCCTTCCTGCCAGTCATCACTAGCATGTCAATTTCATTTCTTTGTAGGTGCGGAAAATGGAGCCCCTAATTTCTGTACCATTATTCTAACAAGGCTGGCAAAAGTCCTAGGCCTTTGTTACGGAGGAAAAGCTCTTCTCTTTATAGAATATGTTTTAGCTTTATTTATTCAAAGGGGTGTTTATTTATTTTTTTTAAAAAAAAACTTTTTGTCATCATACATTAAACCCTGTGCACTATTGTCTCGGAAAACTCCGGAAGGGTTTCTTGTTCAGAGCTAAGCAGAAAAGTATTTCCCATAAGAACTAATGAAATAGTTACAGGCGGAGTTTCGATTTCCAAGCTAGTCATAGATAGTGACTTTACCGAGTTTTGAAAATGTATGTGAAGAAGAGGTTAAAGCTAGAAGAAAACCTCTAGTTATTCGAGGAAATCTTTCACTGTGGCCATCACTAATGTAACCTCGTCTAGATGCCTGGGAGTTTTCTCTTTGCCTAGCCTGTGAAATTAATGGTTTAACAGAGAGGGAAAATTCAACCTCCCCATGTAAATCTTTAGCCTAATTAATAGGCACACTGGGGCACTGTATCAGCTCAATTTATGTTTAAGCAGCACGTTCATTACGAAGTCCTCCTCTGTGCTTGAAAGCAGCCTCTCTGGAACCTCCAAAGGGCCTCAAGCCTGAGTTACTGGGTGAGCTGAAACCAGTCGGGCCAGTCCTGCCCAGCCCCGGTTATCAGATGGACCAGAACACTAGGTCAGACTAAGCAAGGAGAAGCAGTTAGGAGAGGCCACGGCCTCACTGAAGAGGTGTCGGGAGGAAAGAGCTCGTGGAGGTACAATTTCCATCTTCCCATCCATCGACTGTGGATAGGCCGTCTGGCCCTAATTGCCTCTCTCCGTAAATTCACTTTCCGTATGTAGGTTTTACCCTGGAAGCCTCCTAGGGAAGAAGCCAGTGCTTACTGTCCTGCAGACATTTACTTTCTTCAGTAGAAGGGCCTGATGCACAGGGTTCGATACCGTTTGATAAGTGAAAGAAAGAATGAAGACCTTTAACGATTCCCACTTTCGGTTTTTCGGCACAGCAGTGGGAATAGGCTCTTCGTGTATTTCCGTGTTTTCTTATTTGGATTTTTAAGGCTCGCCAGGTGGCCCCGCTTTTCTCTGCGTTTGGGGCCGGGTGCAGCCAAGTCGCCTCTGCAAGCAGGGGAAGGGGGCTGGGGCAGCTTCCTGGCAGGGAGCAGGGCCCTGCTCCAGCTGTTGCTTAGTATCTCAGCTTTCTGAGGCCTTGGGATTGTGCGAACCCTTGGATCAATTTTAGCCTTATTTCCAGCTGCTGCTCAGCGGCGGCAGCTTTCCCAGGGGCTTTGCTAATGAATGTAATTTTACAGCAGCGAAAGAAGCTGCAGGAGAACCGAAAGTTCTAGAGGAAAAACAGCACTTCGTTTTTTTTTTCAGAGTTGAATTGTTAAAGTCGCAACCGTTTTCTCCAGCGCACACAGGCTCACCGGGTCCTGACTTAGTGAACCCTAGTTTATTCGCAGGGAGATTTTGAATTACCCGCCCATGCAGGCACTGGCTTACGTTGGAGAGCTCCAAATCCTCCTTTAGAGATTCTTTTCAGCGGTAACATCACACACGCTTCCTCTGTGCAGCATCCGGTTCAGAAGTGCATGTGGCGCTTTTAAACTGTGTCAGGTTACAATAATGAGAAACTAAGGAATATTGCCGGAGTCTTGGACAATAGGACTCCACGATTCCGGTGGTGTCGGGAATGAGAACTCTGTAGGCCCAGGTCTTTTTCGTCTCTCATATTTTGCTCTTGTTCCCTCCCTTCAATCTTAAAAACCCCTCCATCTGACTCCAAGACTGCCTTCCACGGAGGCGCTAAGATGGCGTGGTTTAAGTACAGACAGAGGCGGGACCTTTTCCCCCGGTATTTCTGCTGCCTCCGTTAACCAGACTTCAATGAGCCTGGGTGAGGGGTTGGTCTGTTATGCGGGAAATAGAGACTCACGTGTGTGAAGTTAGGATCTGTTAGTGGAAGTTTCCACTGGCAAACAGGACGTGTGGAACGAGCAGACCTAACTCACCACGAATCTTCTTAATTCCGGTTGCCGTGTCTGCCGCAGCCAGCCGGTCCTCTAAATCACGCCTCTCCCGTACCAGCCCGTGGCATCGTTGACAACCTCACCACCTACCCCTAAATTTCTAAAATGACTCTCACACACCCTCCTTCTCCCCTGTGGGCTTCCCTGCCCGAGACAGGGCTGGGTTGGAGGCTGCTGTGTGTGGCTCTCAGTGAACCAGAGCGGCGCTAGGGCCGTAAATCACGGATCGTTTGCTGATTCCTGTGCTCCTGAGTTTATGTGTGAAACTCTGATTAATCCCCCGAAAAGATAAATAAGATAGGTTTCAGGCTTGCCAAGTGCTCACAGGCTACACTAAGGCTCGTAGGAGAATTGGTGTTAAAGTAATAATTGCTGTAACGGGTATATATGCTCAGAGTGCCGTGGAAACACAGAAAAGTTAGGCATTGCGTTTGTTGTTGGGAAAGTTTTGAAAGATGATGACGTGTCTTTCACTTTAAAACTAAAGCATTATGACTTTTGTGGGCCCTGGAGACTAATGTCTTTGTGAGTTACTTCTTCCATAAAGAGAATATATAATAATTATCACATTAACTGCCATGTGGGTTGTATTTCACTCACGCTGGTTTGGGGCCCGGGCCTCGTGAAGCAAACATAACTCACACGTCTCTTTACCTTTACCCTCATGGACTATTTTTCAAGTTCCATATAACTCATGCACTGAAAACAATACAAAATAATAAACTTTTCATTAAATTAGCAAGAATCATTTTATTTTTGAAGTATTTATTCTATTTCTGTAATAAAACACTGTAGCCCTAGGGAAATGTTTTTTCCTAGTGTTGCAGTCAATGTGTTAAGTTTTATCACTGTTGGCATAAAGATAAATGTATTAATATCATTTATTAAAATACTTTGTTCATCCCCAAATTAATTTTATTTTCTTCTGACTTTAATAGAAATTTAAATATTTCACAGGTCCCTGAAAGAAAGAGAAGAATAAAGTTGCAGAAAGAAAATAAGGAAAGAAATTCTGGAGAAAAGAAAACAAGTGTGAGATGAGTAGATATCACGAAAGAAATGATAAAATAAGTTCACCAAAAAATAAAATATAAATGTGAAAATGGAGGGAAATAAAAAGAAAGTAGAAAAGGGAGAGAAGGCAGAAAATGTTTGTTGAGAACAACGAAGTGTGAAACTACTCCAGAAGCTCGTCCCTGGAGTACTTACTGCTCCCGGAGGAGGGAGGGAAGGAGGGAGGTTTTTGTCTTTTTTTCCCACTGCTCTTTAGCAAAGGCCACGTCTGCAGCAGGGGCAGGTGGGACTGGCCACCTGAGGAAAGGTGAGTCTGGGGTGGGCTGGGCCCCCGGTGAGCTTGCCAGGTGAGGGCAGGTATCCTATAACCTAGCCTGCCTTAAGAGGCCGGTTTTGTGTATGAACAGAAAAAACTAGTTGTTTTTCTACGAATGGAGTCCTAATTCGAAAATCAGAAAACTAAAAAAAAATATTAAAAAGCATTATACTTACTATGTATCATTTACACCTTTACATTTACCTGCATCTCGTTAGCTTTTCACATTTTGGACTTTATTACATTTATTTCATTGTTTCTATTGCCTATCATGGAAAAAGCTTTTCATAAGTATAACAGATTTTCACGTACTTATTTATTTTAATATTCACAATAGTCCTATGAGAAAGATACCACTCTTCTCACTATATAAATTAGGAGCCAGGGTCAGAGTTTGTGACCGGTGCAAAGTAATATAGTTACATAATTTCAGAAAAGGGCTTTAATGCTGTGTGTGTGTGTGTGTGTGTATGTGTGTGGTGTTCACACCTGTGTATGTGTGTTAAATTGATACTGTCTTTCTGCTTACCGTTAAACTTAAAAGAGAACTGATTTCACATTGATTAAGGTATTCTCACACACTTTCCCTCATTTTTTCTCATATGCTTACTTATGCATTCCGAAATCTGCCTAACATTTTCATCCTTCTCTTTAATGAAAGCCCCACACTCATCATCCATCATGGGTTTGACCCAGCTGACATCTTGAACACAAACCCGTGAGTAAGCTATTATTCCTTTGATGCTTAGGCATAAAATTTGGCATACCAAATGTTTATGTTTATAAAGTTTTTTTTCTAACACAGCTTGGAATTTTCGTGTATCTGTTGATGACATGCAAATTGTTTCCCTTAGCATGCAGAAAATCCGAATGTAATTTAGGAAACATTTCTTAGAAACATCCAAATGTACTGAAGGTTGTCACATTCAATACATAACTTGGCAAGTTTTATTTATTTATTTTTTTCCCTTTAACATAAAATGTTCAAGGAATCTAGCACTGGGGAAAGATCCTTATGCCTTGAGGCTAAGGTAGAGTTTTACAAAGGAGTTTAGCCGGTGGTGGGTTTAAAGCTGTACCTATTGGCCTCACTCTGATTCATGCCCAAAGAGAGAACCATCGACAGCTGCCATGTGCTTGATTCAAATTAGTGAGACATTATAGTGAGAACAGGAACAGGTTTTTGTTGACTCACCGCCCCTACAGGAAAGCAGTCAATTCAAACCATACCCTGGCCACGATTAGTGGCCAGTCCCAGGGGAAGTGTTGTTTCAACCCCATTCTTCCTGAGTCTAGCTTGACCGGGCCACAGGATGGATGGCTCAATGGACTGAGATTAACATGGGGATTCAGTAAATCTTGGCTCCTGGCTGTGGCTCTGTTGTTAATTCACCAAGGAAGGCTGGTAAATTAGTGTAGCTTTTATGTGCTAACGTTTTCTCATGTAAAAAATGAGCACAGGAACAATGACTATGCTATGAATATTACAAAGAAAAGTTTTGCTAATGCAAGTCTTGTTGATGTATTATCCTGCGTACAGAAAGGAAGTTCAGAAAGGAAGAGTGTTTAGAACTCTTTGAAAAATATGTCACATCTCTGGGTCTGCCCTTTGGCAGACATGGCTCCCAGATCGCTGAGAGATTCTAAGGGTTATTATGCATGTCCTTTGTTTAAATCTGCAAAATGTAAAAACACTAACCTTAAACAATTACACATGTAAACCTGTAAAACTCCATTTACTCAATTAACAAGAGCTGACTGGTTACTTACTGTGTGTGAGCTGTTGGGTTCCAAAAGAAATGAGAAATTGCCCGTATCCTCAAGAGACTCCAGTTTTACTAGAAACAGACACCTACTAACTATAATACAAACATATTCTAAGCTTTAGAACAGTATGATGCCTCTAAACTCTGTGTCTATCCTTTCTGTATAAGTAGAGATGGAATTAATTCTGCCAGAGACAGTGGATTGAGGAGATGACATGTAGAAGTGACTCATGGAAGATGGAAGGTGCTTTATACAGAAGGTGGAAGAAAGTTCTCCAAGGAGATGCAACCAATCAGGTGCAAAGGTGGGAGCCCAAGGAGTGGCCACGGAACTGCTGGGACTTCTGTGTGAGTGGAGCACAGGGAGCCTGGAACAGCAGATGGGCCAGCTGGTAAGATACCTGTGTGGTCGTATTTACACCTGTAGATAGATTGAAGGCTGGAGCCTTCTTAGGTGCTTAAGTGGGAGGGTGGCACAATCAGAGTTGCTGTTTTGGCAGGATGGACAGGGACTGGAAAGGAATAGCGTTGAGGCAGGGGAGGCTGGTTTGGAGGCTGTTGTATCCATGACACATTATCACCGTGGCAACATCAGAAAACATTGTATATAGGACCCAGTTGACTTTAGGAGATCCAGACCCAGGTAGTCTAGCCACATACTCTATCGAATCTGTCTTTCCTTTCACTAGTGCGTAAAACCAAAGCCATGGTCCTCTACCATTTTTGTAATTCCCCAAAACACTGGGTTGAGAGAATAATATCTAGGGATTTTTCTGAGGTCATACATGTTTACCTTAACCCTAGAATTCATGCATATCTTTCTGCCTTTCCTGATCGACCTGCTGTGAGCTGGGTTACACATCTCACCAAAGCTTTAATCTTGGTTGAGTCAATCCATGCTAACCTTCACAGCAGCTGTGCAGTGCCCGTCCTGACTGCCCGGCTACTCCTCAGTCCCCAGCACCCGCCCTCCACACACACGTGGGTGCGTGCTCTCATTGGTTACTTTTGCATTCTGTTTTCCATTTGTTTGAATTTTTAAGATTTTTGTGGTCATTTTGTCATACCCAACAACTACAACAACTTACCATCAACCATTATTTGACAATATATATATTTTTTACCCTTCAGAATTGTGTTTTCAAAAATTGCATTTATATAAAACTGTCAGGCATTCAGAAATGTTGAATAAAAAGGAAGCTGCTACGGCCAGCTGCCAGCTTATTTTTCAACACCTCTGGTCGGTGATGTTTCCTTTGTTAACATTTGTTCATCGCACAATGAGCCTTTAAAGATGTGCTATTTGTCTTATGCACTTAAGACAGACGAGGGAAACCCATGTGGGCAGAGCTCCTTGTGTTGGGTTTATTATTGTCAGTGTAGACACTGAAGGGAACAGGGCCATCCGAGTGCGTTTCCACACGAGCTGACCCCGAGCACTGCACTCGGTCCAAAAGGCAGTGACCTTCCCACCCTTCCTTCCTCTGAACCGAAGCAACATGGCACTCACTTGTCTCTTGGTGTTTGCTTTTAGGTTTTTTTTTTTTTTTTGATAATGTTTTTGCAGAATGTTGGAAAGTTCTTCAAGTTAGTATAGTTTGATACCCTGGTACCACACACTTCATTTGTGAGAGTTAGTTGCCTGGAAAGACATTTGTATTTTTACTATCATTTCAAATTTTACTTAAAACAAATAATGACTAAAACAATGGTGTTTCCCAAATACACTCATCTCATTATCTAATTATAATGTTCCCCTTTCCTCTTTAAGTACCTATGTGGTTAAGTTCCTAATTCGTTTCTTTTGTTTCCTTTGAAAATAGTCTTCATATATAATTATTTTTTTACTAATCCCTTACTTAGCACTTGGTTTGTTGCATTCTTTATTTTGTGTTTTTATAGAGTTTGTTTCTCCCTTTTGGTGACTAATTTCTCACTTTCTTGTAGCTATTGAGCGTAGCACATTGATTATGCAAAATCTTTTGGGCTCTTATCATGTTTGTATTTTATTCGGAGTGACATTGTTAAAATTCACAAAATCGGTCTATATCCACAGGGTTCGATACCGTTTGATAAGTGTAAAGAAGAATGAAGACCTATTAACCATTCCACTTTTGGTTTATTCGGCACAGCAGGTGGGAATAGGGCTCTTCGTGTATTTCGTGTTTTCTTATTTGGATTTTTAAGGTCGCCAGGTGGCCCCGCTTTTCTCTGCGTTTGTGGCGGGTGCAAGCCAAGTTCGCCTCTGCAAGCAGGGGGAAGGGGGCTGGGGCAGTTCCTGGCAGGAAGCAGGGCCTGCTCCAGCTGTTGCTTAGTATCTCAGCTTTCTGAGGCCTTGGATTGTGCGAACCCTTGGATCAATTTTAGCCTTATTTCCAGCTGCTGCTCAGCGGCGGTAGTTCCCAGGGGCTTTGCTAATGAATGCAATTTTACAGCAGCGAAAGAAGCTGCAGGAGAACCGAAAGTTTAGAGGAAAAACAGCACTTCGTTTTTTTCAGATTGATATTGTTAAAGTCGCAACCGTTTTCTCCAGCGCACACAGGGCTCACCGGGCCTGACTTAGGAACCTAGTTTATTCGCAGGGAGTTTTGAATTACCCGCCCATGCAGGCATTGGCCTACGTTGGAGAGCTCCAAATCCTCCTTTAGAGAGTCTTTTCAGCGGTAACATCACCACACGCTTCCTCTGTGCAGCATCCAGTTCAGAAGTGCATGTGGCGCTTTTAAACTGTGTCAGGTACTACAATAATGAGAAACTAAGAAATATTGCCGGAGCTTGGACAATAGGATCCACGATTCGGTGGTGTCGGGATGAGACATCTGAGGCCCAGGTCTTTTTCGCTTCATATTTTGCTCTTGTTCCCTCCCTTCAATCTTAAAAACCCTCCATCTGACTCAGACTGCCTTCCACGGGAGGCGCTAAGATGGCGTGGTTTAAGTACAAACAGAGGCGGGACCTTTTCCCCCGTATTTCTGCTGCCTCCGCTTAACAGACTCAATGAGCCTGGGTGAGGGGTTGGTCTGTTATGCGGGAAATAGAACTCACGGTGTGTGAAGTTAGGATCTGTTAGCGGAAGTTTCCACTGGCAAACAGGACGTGTTGGAACGAGCAGACCTAACTCACCACGAATCTTCTTAATTCCGGTTGCCGTGTCTGCCGGCAGCAGCGGTCTCTAAATCACGCCTCTCCCGTACCAGCCCGTGGCCATCGTTGACAACTCACCACTACCCCTAAATTTCTAAAATGACTCTGAACACCCTCCTTCTCCCCTGTGGGCTTCTCTGCCGCGACAGGGCTGCGTTGGAGGCTGCTGTGTGGCTCTCAGTGAACCAGAGCGGCGCTAGGGCCGTAAACCACGGATCGTTTGCTGATTCCTGTGCTCCTGAGTTTATGTGTGAAACTCTTGATTAATCCCCGAAAAGATAAATAAGATAGGTTTCAGGCTTGCCAAGTGCTCACAGGCTACACTAAGGCTCGTAGAAGGAGAATTGGTGTTAAAGTAATAATTGCTGTAACGGTATATATGCTCAGAGTGCCGTGGAGAAACACAGAAAAGTTGCATTGTGTTTGTTGTTGGGAAAATTTTGAAAAATGGATGACGTGTCTTTCACTTTAAAACTAAAGCATTATGACTTTTGTGGGCCCTGGAGACTAATGTCTTTGTGAGTTACTTCTTCCATAAAGAGAATATATAATAATATATCACATTAACTGCCATGTGGTTGTATTTCACTCACGCTGGTTTGGGCCCGGGGCCTCTGAAGCAAACATAACCACACGTCTCTTTACCTTTACCCTCATGGACTATTTTTCAAGTTCCATATAACTCATGCGCTGAAAAACAATACAAATAATAAACTTTTCATTAAATTAGGCAAGAATCATTTTGTTTGAAGTATTTATTCTATTTCTGTAATAAAACACTGTAGCCCTAGGGGAAAAGTTTTTTCCTAGTGTTGCAGTCAATGTGTTAAATTTTATCACTGTTGGCATAAAGATAAATGTATTAATATCATTTATTAAAATTACTTTGTTCACCCCAAATTAATTTTATTTTCTTCTGACTTTAATAGAAATTTAAATATTTCACAGGTCCCTGAAAGAAAGAGAAGAATAAAGTTGCAGAAAGAAATAAAGGAAAGAAATCCTGGAGAAAAGAAAACAAGTGTGAGACGAGTAGATATCACGAAGAACATGATAAAATAAGTTCACAAAAAATAAAATATAAATGTGAAAATGGAGGAAATAAAAGAAATAGAAAGGGAGAGAGCAGAAAATGTTGAGACAACAAGTGTGAAACTACTCAGAAGCTCGTTCCCTGGATACTTACTGCTCCCAGAGGAGGAGGGAAAGGAGGAGGTTTTGTCTTTTTTTCCACTGCTCCTTAGCAAAGGCCACGCCTGCAGCAGGGGCAGGTGGGACTGGCCACCTGAGGAAAGGTGAGTCTGGGGTGGGCTGGGCCCCCGGTGGGCTGCCAGGTGAGGCAGGTATCCTATAAACCGAGCCTGCCTTAAGAGGCGGTTTTTGTATGGAAGAAAAAAACTAGTTGTTTTTCTACGAATGGAGTCCTAATTCGAAATCAGAAACTAAAAAAAATATATTAAAAAGCATTTATTTACTATGTATCATTTACACTTTACATTTACCTGCATCTCATTAGCTTTTCACATTTTGGCTTTATTACATTTATTTCATTGTTTCTATTGCCTATCATGGAAAAAGCTTTTCATAAGTATAACAGATTTTCACGTACTTACTTATTTTAATATTCACGATAGTCCTATGAGAAAGATACCACTCTTCTCACTATACATAAATTAGGAGCCAGGGTCAGAGTTTGTGACCGGGGCAAAAAGTAAATATATTACATAATTTCAGAAAAGGGCTTTAATGCTGTGTGTGTGTGTGTGTGGTGTTCACACCTGTGTATGTGTGTTAAATTGATACTGTCTTTCTGCTTACCGTTAAACTTAAAAGAGAACTGATTTCACATTGATTAAGGTATTCTCACACATTTCCCTCATTTTTTCTCATATGCTTACTTATGCATTCCGAAATCTGCCTAACATTTTTCATCCTTCTCTTTAATGAAAGCCCACACTCATCATCCATCATGGGTTTGACCCAGCTGACATTCTTAAACACAACCCGTGAGTAAGCTATTATTCCTTTGATGCTTAGGCATAAAATTTGGCATACCAAATGTTTATGTTTATAAAGTTTTTTTTTCTAACACAGCTTGGAATTTTCGTGTATCTGTTGATGACATGCAAATTGTTTCCCTTAGCATGCAGAAAATCCGAATGTTAATTTAGGAAACATTTCTTAGAAACATCCAAATGTACTGAAGGTTGTACATTCAATACATAACTTGGCAAGTTTTATTTATTTA